TTTGGGGGTGGGCAGGTTGATACTTTTCCAAACAAAGTGCTGGGCTACAATCATTCTATTAATGCTTATGGGACTCAGGTAGGGCTCAAAGACTTTCTTGGCAATTAATATGATGATGGATTCTGGTGCTTTGCTTTGCAGCAGGCTGTGTTTCATTCATTTTTTAATTAAAGCTTTTTTTTTCCCAATTCAGGTATAGCAGGGAACCTAGTGTGTGCTACCAATGTAATCTATGGGAACTGATCGCAGTAGCTCTTCAATAATGCAAATTTCACACTGATGCATTATTGAAGTGCTAGAGAGAGGATAGATTAAATCCAAGCAAACAGGTTTTCTAGAAGAAATCTCTTCTATGTAAAAATACATTTTAAATCAAGAAAGTTTAGGGTTTTTTTTAAAAGACTGTTTTTAAATTTTAAGTGTTATTATGCATTGTCATTTAATTGTACTATTGGAAATGCTAAAGCAACTCCTAGCCAAGAATGAAATGGAATGAAAAGATGCATGCTCACCCTTTCCCTTTATCTGTGCGAGACTCTATTACAATACCTTCCACGAGACCTGTGCTATCTGCTTTCAGTTCCATCACCTCAGCAAGAGTTACAATTGCCTCTTTTAAGTTCATCAGGTTATTGCTCTAGACCAGAAAAGTCAAAAGTAGTTCAGAAAAGGTAAGACTTCTAACAGCCATTGTAATTCATTCAGTGTGCATTGCAGATTTACTGAAGATTTGTTGACTTAAAATCTAGGGTACATTGGTGGCTGACTATAGCCTCTTTTATCACATCTCCCAAGCTCAGTGCCCATAAAAAAATAGCAAAGTACTTTTTCCTCATTAGGAAATTTTCCTGCTCAGTGTTGAGAAAAGACTGCTTTTCTCCAAACAGCTGGGCTCAAGAGGTAGAGGTTCAGGTGAGGGTTTCCTCTCCCAAAAACCCTGCCAAATGTTGCATCATGTGGTCCTTGAAAAATCCATTTTTTACTGCAAATAAACAAGCAAATGTGACACACATTTAGTTCAGGGATGGCACTGAAGCTGATTTGCATTACCTTTAATGCAGAGATAGGAACAGTCTGAACATCTCCTCCAAACTCTTCACAAACAATATTATAAGCCAGTAGTTGTTTCTTTACTCTTTCAGGATCAGCTTCGGGTTTGTCACACTTATTGATGGCAACAATGATTGGAACTGAGAGAAAGAATGGGGAGGAACAACTTTCAGATACATATCTAATTTGTTCCAGATGACTAACAGGACTTCAAAAAATAAGGTACTCAGTAGCTGTATGTAATGTGTCAACAGTGGCGCTTACCTCTTCCCCCATCTCCCCCAAAGAAAACAAAATCCGTGGATACCTTTAGCATTTTTAGCATGTTGAATGGATTCCACAGTTTGCTCCATCACACCATCATCGGCAGCTATCACCAGTACAACAATATCAGTGATATGTGTACCTCTTGCCCTCATGGCTGAAAATGCAGCATGGCCAGGAGTATCCAGAAATGTTACCTTTTCCCCAGAAGGCAACTGCACTGCAAAAACAATTGGAAACATATACAATATCTTCTAAACAAGAGTTCAATGCTTCTCACACCATTTTCACAGAACATACTAAACCAACAGCTGCTTCCATCAGATATGTAAGTTCCTCATACAAGTAAAACTCTAAATTCTAAACAGAGAAATTGCCTAAAATGTATAGTCACTTTTCCATAGTCCATGTTTAGCTGTTAAGCCTTTCTGCAAAACACTGCTCTACTTGGGGCTTTGCTCCTAATATTTTAAGTTTATCTTCATTTCTATATTATGTGTTAATATTTGCAAAAGTGGCATCCTCGAGATATGTTGGGCTATAATTTTCTCATGTAACAATCAGCATGGTTGGAAATTATGGGTGTTGAAGACCAATACACCACCTATAGAGGCACCTGCTCTATAATCTATAACAGGCCCAGCAATGAAATTAGTTAGGATCTATTCTTTGACACCAGGAAATAGACTGGGTAACGTGCATTTAGTTGCCCTTGACCATACTGGGAAACTTCATATGAACTAGCTTGAAACTTGAGTTTTTGAGGCAACTTTATTACAAGGAAAGGTGCGGTGGCTGTTTGTCAGATTTCACACCCAGGTTTGGTAGTAAATCACTAGTCTCCATGTAGATAACCTTGAATTTGGCTCTCAGCTAAATTAGACTCTACTGCAGACAAGAATGGAAGCCTCCTATACAACAGTTGATTGTTGATTACAGAGCAAAGAATTCATATATATATATATGTATCTCAACTATATATAACATATATATACACACACACACACACATATACACATACACACACAGTATATATATATATACACACACATACATATACACATACACACACAGTATATATATATGTATGTATGTATGTATGTATGTATGTATGTATGTATGTATGTGTTAATGTATCTCAACTACCTCCCAGGGCCACCGGGTAACCTGCGAAGTATCTGTTAATCCAGAAGGGCAGGAGAGTTCAGAGCCATATATATGCCTCTGGTTCTTACCTCACTAATCTCATACCACCTCATTGTCTGTTTTCTCCATCCCCTTGAGAAGTTTTAGATGCTTCCCTCCCTCCCTCCCTCCAGTTATGGACAGCTGGAGGGTATTTTGCTCACTTCAGGTACATTATCTTCTTGTAGTCCTTTTACTCTGCTGTGAATTCATGAGGTGGCCTTGAGCAAGAAATTACATGGTCATGATGGTATCAAAATGTTATTATCATTTTATAATAATACAATTTTGATATAATAGACTAGGTGCAGATGAGGGATTGACAACCTTAGAAAATACAGGTGAAACTCGAAAAATTAGAATATCGTGCAAATGTTCATTTATGTCA